TTTAAAGAATAATTATCTTTGAAATATAGGAATGATTGCCTTTTCAGTTTTATGATCTTCCTGTTGGAACTTTATTATTATTTTATTTTATTTTTGAGACGGAGTCTCTCTCTGTCGCCCAGGCTAGAGTGCAGTGGTGCGATCTCGGTTCACTGCAACCTCTGTCTCCCAGGTTCTAGCAATTCTGCTGCAGCCTCCTGAGTAGCAGGGATTACAGGCGCGTGCCACTATACCTGGCTAATTTTTGTGTTTTTAGTAGAGACGGGGTTTCACTGTGTTGGCTGGGCTGCTCTCGAACTCCTGACCTCAGGTGATCCACCCGCCTCAGTCTCCTAAAATGCTGGCATAACACACATGAGCCACCGCACCTAGTCCCTGTTGGAACTTTTGATAGGTAAATGATCATTTTGTGTAACACAGTAATTCTAATTATTAATTATATGTTTACAGGTGGGCCAGGAGATAGAAGTAAGACCTGGTATTGTTTCCAAAGATAGTGAAGGAAAACTCATGTGTAAACCAATCTTTTCCAAAATTGTATCACTTTTTGCAGAGCATAATGATCTGCAATATGCTGCTCCAGGCGGTCTTATTGGTAAGGATTTTTTCTTATCTCTTTTAATTTGTGGCTATTTGTGGACTTTTCATGGGGGATGGATTACCAAAAGGGACATATTATAGATTTTTAATTGGGTATTTTAATAATATAGTGGGGCGGGGGAACAATCGTGGTTAAGCTCTTGTTTTAGGTTATAAGATGGTTTCATGCATTTGTAAAAATGATTTTTAAATACAAAGGATACATTTTGGTCAAATATAGAGTAACTCCTTTTTAGCAATATAAAAAAGTTTGATGACTTACCATGTAAGGTATTTACGTACACTTATGTTTTTGTTAACACAATTTTTGTGGTAGATAATGGTTGCCTTTTTTTTTTTTTTTGGAGATGGAGTCTCGCTGTGTCCTCCAGGCTGGAGTGCAGTGGCGCAATCTTGGCTCACTGCAACCTTCACCTCCCAGGTTCAAGCAATTCTTCTGCTTTAGCCTCCCGAGTAGCTGGGACTACAGGCACATGCTGCCAGGCCCAGCTAAGATTTTTGTATTTTAGTAGAGACAGGGTTTCATCGTGTTGCCCAGGCTGGTCTCGAACTCCTGAGCTCAGGCAGTCCCCCGCCTTGGCCTTTCAAAGTGCTAGGATTACAGGCATGAACCACCGTGCCCGGCCATGGTTGCTTTTGTGTATATTTTGCAAATGGGAAATTACCTACAAATGTCAGTTGAATGATGTCAGATCGTATTTCCAATGATGTAGAAATAAAAGAAAATAAATTTCTTTGTGTAGCAATTACTGAAATGATTTAAAAACTTTTCTAGTCTCTTACAACTTACTGTATTACTCAATACCCAGAAAAATGAAAGATTCAGTGAGAATTAGAGGGGGTGTATGTACCTGTAGATTAAAGAAGAAAATGTTTGGTAAGGACACAGTTTATTCTTCACCAAACAAGCTGTGTGTCTGGTTGAAAATTTTAAAAGGGAAATAAAAGAAAACAGAAAAACGAAAAAGAGTTTACCAGATTGGCTGGGCTCAGTGGCTCACCCCTGTGATCCCAGCAATTTGGGAGGCTGAGGTGGATGGATCGCTTGAGCTCAGGAGTTTGAGACCAGCCTGGGCAGCATGGTAAAACCCTGTCTCTACTAAAAATACAAAAGTTAGCTGGGTGTGGTGGCCCACGCCTGTAATCCCAGCTACTTGGGAGGCTGAGGCATGAGAATCGCTTGAACCCAGGAGGCGGAGGGTGAGCCGAGATCACACCAGTGCACTCTAGCCTGGGTGACAGAGTGACACTCTGTCTCAAAAAAAAAAAAAAGAAAAGAAGAAAAGAAAAAAAGAGTTTACCAGGTTGGGCATGGTGGCTCATGCTTATAATCCCAGTGCTTTGGGAAGCCGAGGTGGGAAGATTGCTTGAGACCAGGAGTTTGAGACCAGCCTAGGAAACCGTGAGATGCCGTTTCTCCAATCAAATAGTAAAATAAACTTGGTTTGGTGCCTGTAGTTCCATCTCTCATTTTATCCTTTGTGTGCATGTGTGTGGTAAACAAGGGAGATCTGGTAACTTTTTAAAAATTTAACTTAAGGAACTTTTTATTTATTTATTTATTTTGAGGCAGAGTCTTATTCTGCCACCCAGGCTGGAGTGCAGTGGTATGATCTCGGCTCGCTGCAACCTCTGCCTCCTGGGTTCAGTTAATTCTCGTACCTCAGCCTCC